CGTTTTATCGACTTCAAACAGAGGCATATTGGACACAACAAAAAAGCTAACCAAACCCATGCTGTAGGGGATGACCGGTCAGAGGAACTGACCACTGATTTGCAGCAAATTCAAGGAAAAATTCACCGATAAAGAGCTATGACTATGTGAGGAAATCACAGGTGATAAAGACACAAGAAGATTGTGTCTAAATCACCACTCTATTGAACATTTTTGCCCTCAAATATCAACGCCCTCTTATGCACTTGAGAGCGGGAAAGTTAGTACACAAGCTCAGAAAACATTCGTGGATTCGCATTTTATACATAGTAAAGCCCATGGAGGCCACCTTTCATAAATTCAATTTTTGTCTTTTTGTTTTGATAGCACTTGTAACATTCTCGCCAACCATTTTCCGCTTCTTCCCGCCCCTTGCCTTATTTGGCTCCGGTTGTCTCTCAAAGCCGCGTTTCACACGACCAGTCAGTGCGGTGCGCATAGATGAGCCCGGCCGCAGTTTGTCCAACGTGTGCTCCCGCTGCAGGTGGATCTGAGCCACCTTACTGCCATAAACATCAACACTGCGATTTCTAGTGGGCTTGTCTCTTTTTGGCCATAACTGTGGTGGAACCCTTAAAGAGCGCTTCCACTTGTCCTATAGAAAATCACGTAGATCCATCCGTAAATGAGAATAAAGAAGTCGATCATGAAATTACAAACCTCTGACGGCATTTGATGACGCCGAAGAACAAAATCGACATCAGGAGCGGAGTCACAAAGTCTTAAATGAACATAAGGCCCCCAGGGAGTTTTAAGAGCCTCTGCGGTTGCAAGTTGTTCTACATCTCCCACATGTTCATCTTTCGATGGTTTTTTGAGCTCCTCCAGCTTAATTGTCAACACACGCATAAAGAGTTTCCTGGGTTCAGGCATTAGAAAGTGGATAACGTATTCCAGACCTGATGAATTTATACAGGACACTTTTGGACCCCTAAACAGATCTAACAACGAACGATTTCATGGAAAATTATCAATGTTACCAATGAGCACAGACTTTAGGAGCTTCGATTCACCATCTTCATCAAAAGCCTCACCAGAAAATATTAAAATGGGTTTTGAGCCGAGAGGAAGTTTTGTTTCCTAAGCACAAGGGTAATTAACACAATTATAGGTGTACGACTGAATGCATTGACACATATTTCTCTATTCCCAATTCGTGCATATCGAGAATCTCATGATCGTATAACCGTCCAATGACGATGTTGTTCGGCCTTTTCTTTGAGTGCGTTCCCATTACAAAAAGGGAACAATCGTATTTGTTACACATGTGCTCCTGCCAACAAATAAATTAGTTCACAAACACGTACAATGAATGTGGCATCCTCAAACGGCAGTACCCGATTTTTCCATCTCAGCTTGTTAACAAGCGGCTTCTTGAGCATAAACTGAAGCAATTTGTAAGAAAAAAAATTAGCGTACAATATCCGTCAAGAAGCTATTTACGATTTCACCAGTGTGAGTCCCCCTGATAATCAGTGTCTGCTTATCGTTTTCATGAATTTGAGGTTCCCGCTTAGAGAGAAATTTGCGTCCCCGATGAGTTTTCGGTGCGCTAGATGAGAATGCTAGGATTAACGTAATTTCTAACTTGACTTGACGTTCCAATGTGTCAGTCGCCATAGCCCGACACAAAACACGAGGACCGTACCAATACACTTATCCGCGTTTGAACCGAAGGTCAATAATTGTATTCATTATCATTTATAAGTAAGAGTTTGAAGTTTCATTTTAGGGTAAAGTTGAAATTTTTTGGGCCTAAAGTCAATCAAAATTCGAATATAGTTTATACTCTTAAGGCATTTCACCAAATGGCACTAAAATGCAGTTGTGAGTACCCAGATATTCCTAAAAGTCAATGAAAAAAAATTCATCAGTATAAGAAGTTTGGTGCCAAGTTAAACATTCCTTGAGAAAATCTGAATTAGAGACACATTATAATGACGTCACAGATGCATCTCTTCATACTGGAGGTAACATGAACCTCCCTCCGGTAACCTTGCTTTTAGATGTCAATGTAGCATCCCGAGGCTTCCTACTATCTCGAAGAAGGTGTTAAGCTACATTAAATATCTAGATCCTAGGATTAGAATTTGGAATGGGTTGGGATATAATAAATGTCAAAGTCACCACCAGACATACGGATGCTGACACGCTTAGCCGTACACTC